GCGCGCGGCGCGGGGCACCGGGCACCGGGCACGGGCACGCAGCGGGACAAGGGGCGCCACTGCCGTCGCTTCTGTCCACAAACCACGTTTATTTATGACACGTGCGAAAGAAAGGGAGGATGTACAAACAAGAAACGTGCCTTGCACATCGCAGCCCAGTCGTAAAACCATAAAGACACTCTTTACACAAACAGGTCAATATTTTGATTTCGCGCTGGTCAAATACAGTAAAAGCGCAGTTGCGTTTAACAATGCAGGGCTTCGTCTGCGTCTGGTGCATCTGCTGCAGCCCGGGGAGGACGTGGCCAGCGGGTCCTGTGCGGCAGTGAGATACGCTTGGCTGTTACGAGCAATAAATAGAAAGGGAGGCGCGAGGGGCACGAGGGGAGCAGCGCTGCCCTCCGCTCCCCCCTGAGCACACGGCGAGAAACACATGGAGCGCTGAACCCTGTGGGACGCACACGCGCCCCCGGTGCAGCACTTCCCACCGACCGCAGCACGGCGACTTCTGCTACTTCAGAGCAACCAGCTGCTCCTGCACCACCTTCTGCTCTGGGACACTCTAGGAGCTTTTGCTGCAGCACCAACAGGGCCATCTATGTGCACCTTCTGATTTTTAAGATGCACAAGTATGTGTTTGCTCCGCTACTTTGCAAATCTCCACCTGGCTATCTTGGCATTTTTTTTTTCAAATCTTTGGGGATATTTCTTCTTCTTCAGAGCAGATTTCCTTAAACACTGCAGTTGTGAACAGATCTGAAGTGCCTTGCTCGTGAGGCCATTTCCTCCTGTTTTGCTTCCCTGAAGAAAATAACTCTTTGCAACTTATGTTCATGTCCCTCTCTTCTCTTGCAGGAATTTAGTTTGAGCATGGATACCACGTTTGCAGCATCAGTCATTTGTAATTCAGGTTTCTCCTAATATTGAAATTACAAGCATTCACCATCTGCTTTAGAAGTACCTAGGAAAGATTGTAATTAAAAAAATAAAAAAAAAAAAAAAAAACAGAATATTATTATGGCTTATTGATGGAAAAAAAAAAGATGCAACTGGTAATCTCAGAAATTGGGTGGTACAAGATATGCTAAAATGTTTCAGCGAATGCAGCAAATCTGCAAGCAAGTTGCAGTCTTCCTATAGCATTTTAAAACAGCAAAGGTTAAATGAATCAAGAAAACGACTCAGAACCGATATGAGGTGATCAGTTCATTCCTCTTTCTCCACCAAACAGGATAGCAGTGGAAAGCAGCAACGAAGGCTTTCCTAGCAATGATCCTCAACACTACGGTGGAGAAAGTAATTGCAGAACATTTGAATAGACACCTGCCTTGTACATACTGTTAAAGATCTCTAGTCTTCTAATGGAGTGACTTCCTTTTCTTCTCTAATCTCCAGCTTCTCCTTTTCAGTACTGTTAATAAAAAATAAAAAGCCCAAACTGGCATCAGGTATGCTGGGCAGCAGCATCAGGTTCTGAGTTATACATAGCATATATAATACGTAACAAGAAGTTATATGATAAAGTAATAAGCATTTTACAGGGGGGTGCCCACAGTGCCAGGTTTATAGAGGGAAGAAGAGGGTGATCTTCTGCCAGCTGCCACTGCACATCTGGTTATTGCTCTGAGTGGGAAGCCACTTCGAAGGGCAAGAGCAAAATGAGGGCTCCTGAGTCCCCTCCTCCTGGGGCTCTGCTCCGACTGCAAGTAAGCAGCCAATTATTGCGAATTGCATTGGCAGTTTTGCACCGTAAATGCGTAGGGAAGGATCCAAGCCAATGATTCCAAGTGGCCATGAAGGTCTATTTGATCGGCCCTTCTCTTTCCTGTGCCCTTACAGTTCTGTGTCTGCCGCCTCTGTCTTCTCTTGCCGTTTCTTCCGAAAATGTCGACAGAAAACCACAATTATCACCACAATGATCATCAGAACACAAGCAGACCCAATGGCCACTGCCAGGAAGTGGATTTCGGAGAATTGCACTGCATGGAGAGAAACAGTCGGTGAGCAAAAGGGACACACTGAGGGACCCAGGTCTGAGGCCCTTCTGCATTCTCTGAACAACCTCTCCTCAGGCTCCTTTCTCCCTGTATCCATCACCTATCCTCCCACATTCTCTTTTTAATCCCTTTCTTCCATGCATTTTCCCAGATGAGGAGGAAGACCTGACAACGTTTTGCAGACCTTTGGTTGCAGTTCTTGGCCACTCACCTTTCTGCACAACTTTGAGTCGCACTTCGCCAATTGTGCCATCGACATCTGGCGGGTTCTTCACCTGGCACGTGAATGTCCCGTTGTCAGAGGGCTGCAAATTCCAGATAACGATGGAAACATCGTAACGCTGGATGTTCCCATCCCAGGTGACTCGCTCTTTGAACCGCCCAGTAGCCATCTTGTAGGGCTCCTTGAGGTAATAGAACACCTACAGGAAAGGCAGAGCCTGTCACTCCCAGGCAGTGTGCAGCACGTGTGGCAGAAGCAGTGCCTGCAAGCCCAGTGGCACCAGCAGAGGCACAGGGCCCGAGCAAAGGCCATCTGCGACCACTCGGCCCTCGCAACGAGCTCTGAGGCCACCTCACTGCTCAGAGGGACAGCACCTTTGCTCTGGCAGCCGTGCTCTGTCTGTCCTGCTCAGGCCAAAGGCTGTGTCAGGCTCTGTTCAGCTGTCTTTCACTTACAGCACTCGTTAACCTACTTACTCTGCCACATTAGCCAACACAAGCCATTCTCTAAGCCAAGTCAGTGCAGGCCCTTAGCTTGGACATAACGTTCAACTGTGGTATAACCGGTACGGTTCCATCAGGCCCAGGATATTTTAATCCTGACTACCCTAAACGAGACATAAATATTGCTTCTTTAAACAGGATCTACAAACAAGCTTCTCGCTTAGCTTAATTATTCTGAATAGCAGAAGGCTGGCCCAAGATACACGTACCTGTGCACAGCTGCTGTGCTTGCCCATGCCTACACCTGGACCTGTTACCGTCACTGGGCTTAGCCAGTGCTGTGCCTTGGGAGACATTTGTCTGAACAAGTCTGCATCAATGAAATGGAGCATAAGGGTCTCACTCACTGGCTCATGAGAGCTCTGGTCCTCAGGCTGGAAGTTCCAGGTCACTGACAGTCGCTGGCTAATAGGGCTGCTGCTAGAAAAAGTGCATTTTAAGCGTAGGTTAGTTCCATTCACAGCATTCACCTCCCTGGAAGTGTGAACTTCCACAGCTGCCACGGGCCACAGTGCTGCAGGGAAAACAGCAAGGTGTTAGAGTTAAAGAAAACCACTGTCGGGGAGTAAACTCTTTATCTACTCTCAAGCTATGATGCAGCCTGCTTTATCTCTCCCTGTGAATGTTTAACCTGATGATCAGAAGGATACAGATTTAATTACTGAGGGTACAATCTTACTTATGCAAATACCATGTACTTCCTGGCTTTTGTTAATTGATACGCAAGCCACACAAGCCACGCAGCGCTGGTCTCAGGGGAAGTTTGCGTCCATCTGAGTTGATACAGAACTTACTCGGCAGTGATGTGTCCGTTCAGCTAAACATTTGCAGATCTGATAACTGTTTGTGTGGAGACCACTGGAAAAGGCTTGCCTGTAAGGGCAATAAATATCACATTGTTTTTGGAGGGAAGGGAATATTTCTCTTCTGTCTTTTTCAGGGATAAATATGCTTGCAATAAACGCACAGGAGATGCAATAAACACTTGTAGTATACACTTGCTGCTGATGGGCACTAAGGATGCCTGCTAGCTATTCAGGCACTTGTCCTGGTCACCCTTTTGCATGTAATTACATGTTACTGCGCTTTATTCCCCAGGGAAGTTGCCCTTAGAAAAGCAGTCCTGTCCTTTCAAGTAGCACTGCTGAGCACCTATAAACAATTGCCATTTCCCAGCCCAGGCAGGCGAGGCAGATTTTCCTTTATACACTTCATATTATCAGGTTGAGTGTGCTGCGCATCGTGCGGAAAGCTACTCTTACTAATACAAGAAGTGCTTGTTGAGGAGGCTAGCAGCACTGCTGCATAATTATAGTCCAACTCTGTGCAGGAGGTCCTTATGGTAAATCGGTAAGCATTTGTTCGTCAAAGAGGGATCCTTTGCTAACCACACTGCCACAGCTGCTGCTTTAAAAATAACTTAGTATGAAGTTAGGCAATCTAGAGGTAGACAAGCAATAGAAGGGAGAGCACAAAGACAGAGAAAAAAATAATGGAAAAGAAGAAAGCAAAAGGGTTTTCTGTGTAGATGCTGTTCCAAACTCCCTTGTCTTCTGGCCTGCCCTGCTGCTCCACGTACAATTTACCCTGTCTAGCAGATTACTGCTACAAAAGTGGTGCTGTAGGTTCCCCCATTTTTCCCCATCATCACTGTGTTGCTTGCCTGGCCACCTCAGCTCTCGGAACTGGCAAAACCTACCTCCTCTGGGTTGCACAAAACACTTGAGTTGATCTAATAATCACCAGTGGCAGCCCACCCTCTTCCCCATCATCTGCTCCCATAGCTTTCCTTCTACTCCTGCTTAGGAAAACAAACAAACAAAAACCACACACACACACACACACACACACACACACACACAAATAGAAACAAGCAGTAATTTCTGGTCACTCTAGGAAGATAAATTACTGACCAAAATGTTCACTCTAGCAAAAAAAAAAAGCTTATCTGGGCTGGTATAGTTTCCTATTTGTATTTGTATTACCTTTTTGTTTTTCTTTGATAACTCTCAGTAGCTGGATAGGCAGTCTAAATTTTAAATCTGTGGTCTACTCAGTGTACTTCATGATCTGAAAATCCAATGGATTTATCTTTTTGAAAATAGTTTCTTACCAAAAATTCCTGGCCAAATATTTTCTTTTCTCAAAGGAGAATTTTTTGAACCACCAAAACACTGAAGGTGTTCAGATTTGAAAACTTCTTTGGCTTAGATCAGTGTCAAATCTTCATTTTAAACTTCTTAAAAAGAGCAAAAGTACAAATTACCTATAAAAGATTTTTTCCATGACAGGTTACCAATGTGTTTGGAAAAGGAGGACATGGTATTCTTATGCCAAATCCGGTTTCCAGTTACATTGGTATAAACCACTGAAAATTCAAGTAGGTTTATTGCTATTCTGGATTCACTGCAGCATAACGGGCTTAAACCTAGCCCTGTTTAACAAGCTCCGATTGTCCAGTAACAAAGGTAGTGAAACAAACATCCAAGAGTAAAGTCCGGAGTCCTGGCCGGAGCTGGGAGCGAGGCTGGGGCCCGAAAAGATGTGTAACTGGAGCTCAGAATGAGCTCAGTGTTCTTCTTCCCCTGGAACACGCCTAAACCTGTTTGTCCCAGAAACTCAATCACTTCATGTCACTCACAGCGAAGCCACGAGCAGAAGAATCGCAGCGATCGGGCACGACACGCCTGAGACCTCTATAGAGACACTGCTATAATAAGGCCGGCAATTTACTGATCAGAAGAGGAGAGTCGAGATGCAACGGAGGCCGCGTCAAAGCAGGTTTCCTTACCTCGGAGCTGTACCCCAAGGAAGAGCACAGCACCCAGCCAGTTGGGGCCAGGCATCAGGAAGACAAGCTCGTGCTCCAGACACGGAGCCGTGCAGGAAAGAACAACGTCGTCTGGGACTCGCGATGACCAGATCGAAAATGAGTTCCTGAAAGCTTTCCCGGGACACTAGAGCGAATGCCTTCCTTCAGCGGGGCCTACAAGGCCATGCGAGCGCTTCCTCCTGCTTGAGTCACGCGGTCCTCCTCCGCCCTGGCACCGAGAGGCAAGGTGCGGCCGGCACAGCTCACTTCTGCGGCTAAAACAGGCAGACTTTCAAGGTAAGATTAATTCCGTCTGCTCCCATATTCCTTTGCTCTTTTGTGTTGCAATCATCCCTCCTCCCAGTTTCCAACTGAAACCACTCCCCTCGCATGCGAGGTAGTGTGCTCCTAAAAGTAAATTTGCCTTAAGGTGTTTATAGCCTGGAGGGATGAGCGCTCTGTTTTCAACAGATATCTGCAAACAATAGGAAAAAAAAAAAAAAAAAAAAAAAAAAAAAAAAAAAAAAAAAGGCAAGCCAAAACAGGTTTGTTTTGCAGCAACGTGTTTGTGTGCAGCAGTTTGGTGGTGCGCACACGTCCAGAGGAGGGAAATATCTCAGCTGAGCTGCAGATACCTGCAGTGAAATAAGCCACCATTCTGTGAGGTTCCCTAGTTGCAGCCCTCTCATGGAAGAATTGGAAGCCTGAAGTAACTGATGCTTGAAAACTGCTTGGGAAAGTCCAAAGACATTATGTTGGACAGCAGTCCAGCCCTGTAGCAGTCCAGGCACAGCTGGGAAATTCCACTGCTTTACAGGCAACTCGGGGAACCGGAGAAACTCAGTGGGACACCGGATATTTTGACGGCAGAGTGTGGCCGTTGTCGGGGTGTAGAACTGAGTCGTGCGTGTGTGTTAGCAAGATAAGGATGTTTGCAGAAGAGGACCATAAATCACGTCCCAGCATAACTTGCTACCGGCCGCAGCTCTGTATGTATCTGGTCCTCGGACTGTTTCCAACCAGTCCTGCCAGGTTAGGAGCTTTGATTGTCACTGGTGCTCACCGTCCTTGCACAGGGCCAGGGCAGGGATGGGGCAGGGATAGGGACAGCACTAACTTCTGGGCATTTTGAAGGGCTCCCTTTAGCTGAGGACCAAGCGGGGCGGTCTCCGTATTCAGCAGTGTGCGCGAGCCGGGCTCGCTTGCCTTAGCTGGGGCTCACCGCGAGCATGTCCCATCTAGCCAGAACGAGGCTTTCCTGGAAAAGAGGACCGCAGAGGGGGGCTCACACTTCCTGGGAATGGGCAGCCAGGTGCTCATCTCTCTTCCTTCTCGGTGTCGTGGCATCCTGGCAGTAGCATCCTGAGAAGTGCCGACTGCATAGCCGTTGCGTTCAGCGCGCCCGGGCGCCTTGGAAGGGGTAAGCGCTCCCTGTGCCAGTTCCGCAGAATGCCACGGCGTGCGATCCCCAACGGCACTAGGGGCTGTGCTGTTCTCGCTGCTCAGCAACCCGGTCCGAACACGCAGCACCTCAGCACGGGCTCTCCCTGTTAACCGGTGTATGCTTTTCCAGGTCAAGGAGACTGGTTCGGCCTGCCCAAGCACACTTTCTTCTGTTGGGATTGCAGTGGTGTTAAAATGAGCATTTGGTCTTGACTGGCTCACCTCAGAGGAGAGAGGGTTTGCTCTTGCAGGCAGACAATGCCTTTTGGTACCGGCCCGTGGGGAAGGACAGCGTTCCGACGCCCTGGCCTTTCCTGAGGCTGCTGCTGAGGCAGGAGGGTCCCGCGGGGCGCCGGGCTTTGCCCGCCTGGGATGAGGCCTGCACGGAGAAGGTGCCTCCCGCTCGGCTCTGCCAAGGCAGGCATTAGCGCCCGAGCGAGCGCGGAGCGCTTGGAAGGGATGGGAGCCCCCTCTAGTGGAGCCTGGCCTCTTCTACCCGCTTGTTAGACCCGACAAAACTCTCGGCACATGGAAAACTTGGAAAATATGCTGCCAACTCTGCGCATGGGCACAGCAGCGTGCTGCCCGAGCACAGGCTCTGGACCTCGGCTCCCTTTGGATGGAAGGATGTCTTGGCCTTTCAGGACGGATTTACCATACCATATTCCCTGCTGCTTTCAGCAGCTGACAAAGCAAACGCTTTTTCCAAACAGACTTAGCCTTTCCTCCTTGCATTTCCCTCTTAGAAGGGCCTCTTGACCTATAAGTTGACATAAATAAATGTGACTTATTGAAATAAAGCAGCTTTGATTACAGATGTGATTCGTAACACCTGTACATGAAAATGTTTCATTGTTTTTGCAGTCTCATACTGAAGTCAGAGACACAGAGAACAGAAGAGGTAAACACCAACCCTCACAAAAGGAAAAACTGTCACGTACGGTCTGTGTGGAGCAGAACGTTAGCTGCAGCTCGGAGGTTTGCAGCACGTGTTGCTGTGCTCAGTCACACTTCCTTTCGCTGTGCTCCTCCACGCCACTCCTGAGGAAGCAGCAGGAACAGAGGGGCTGTGCTACAGCGAAAGAACCAAGTTAAAATCCAGGTCATGCCATCAGGCACTAAAAGTCCCCATTGGAGTCTTGTGTGAACTGAGAAAAAGACAGCAGCAATGGCAAGGCAGCTTTGGACAGAGTGCTGAACCAGTCACACAAGCCTCATCGCAGCTGGCGCTGGGCTTCGCAGCATGAAAGCCCAGCTATTTACCTCGCTTATAATTAAATATGACCTACAGCTCTACCTTACTAGGTTTTCTCTTTCCGTCCTGGGTCTTTTTACCTTGTTTCTGGCTGCTGTTGATATTCCGTGTTCCTCTAGCATCCAGAGAAGGAGTGGCATGGTAGGAATAATCGCTGGAGCTGGTGCTGGTTCAAGGAGCTCAAAGGCTCGTTTCTGCTGGCCACAGAGCATTTCCAGCTGTTGAGCTTCTTGTAGCTTTTGGGGTTTACTTTCTCGCAGAGCTAAGTTGCTTGCAACTATTTAATCTTTAGAAATGGTCACTTTAACCTAGTTGTTAGGATGGTCCTGAAGGCGAATCTAACACGGGCTTGTTCCTCTCGCCTACTGCTCCCGAGAAAGTTACAGGAGCTCTCCTGAGTCTGGAACTGGGCTGGCGCGCAGCAGCCAACCCTTGCTGTCAGTGACGTTCAGCAGTGAAGATAATTTGAGCCTCCGCACTTCCTGGCAGACACTTTCTTTTCTCATACGTGTTCTGTGTCTTTCTTGACTGCCTGCGGGTTTCACTGGAAACAGTGAGTCTCCTCGGCCATGCTTCGTTCTTCACTGTACACAATTCTGGGAAAAAAGTCTTGGGCCTCTTTCTTGTAAGCCAGAACTTGGAAAGCCACCGTACTCTTTCTTCTTTCACAGCCAGATGATGCCAATTTGATTCGGGATGGCAGAGAAGAGCCAGAGAAGGAGGAACACAAGGATGAGGTTTGAGCTTTTCTTGCTTCTTCTGGGACTCCTGCTGTGTGCGGGTGAGTACCGCGGCCAGAAGCCCGTGGTGATCCGAAGGGCATCTGCCTGGGTCAGCAGAGCAGAAAGCAGGGGGGTGTGCAGCTAGTTGTGCAGAGCCCCTGCATCTTCTGTCATGCACAGCGCCACATGTGCGTGTGGGGAGCCACAGCTGTCTAGACTGACTATTCCCTTCAAAGCAGAGGTGCGGAGACCAGGAAGGGGGAATCCAACCCTCCTAGGCTAGAGGAAAGAATCTAAGGTCCCCTAATACCAGCTAGCTCACTAAAACACCTGGTCTTCAGAATTAATGCAGCGCCGGGGGTGAAATGCGAGTGCTGGAGCTTGAAGGCAGTAATTTTTGCAGCAGTGTGTTCTATAAGAATCTGAGACTTAATATTCATTCGATTTCCAGTATTTATTTATGGAGTTTTCTTAAACTGTTTTGTGGTCTTGGGTAGATTACTTCCGTTTTGTGTTGCGATTCACCTTGATAAAATGGGAGAGGCAGCATTCTTCCGTGTTGCCCAGGTGAGCTGACCAGTATTTGGAAAGCTTTTTTAAGGTGAAGTGCAGTGCATCTGCGAAGGCTATAAAGATGTTGCTAACTACGAGGGGTAGGTCTGAAAGATGGCTAAAAGATACTTAAATAAGACACCTCTACCAAATGTGTGGCAAATACCAACTGCTTTTCTCTGAGAAGACAGGAAACATTTGACTTGGCAATGACGTGTTCTTTTTAATATTAAAATTCATCTTATATAAAGAATAAAGCATCAGATCGCCTTCTATCCAGCCAAGTCCTATACCTGTGGAATTTCAAATCCATAATTCTGTTACACATCGCTCTGTAAAACAAGTTGTTCCCTGGGATGAGACAACGGCACCGAGCGGATGAACACAGCCCGTTTTCTGTTTAATGTGGTACTTTCTAACAACAAATAAGAAATCTTTAAAGTAAATCATGGGCCTGATTCAGACCTCCCCCCACACCGCTTTCATAATGCTCCAGCTGGAGCCTTTATGGAAAGCCAGCTTTAACCTGTTTTAAACGTGGCTTCCAAAATGAAAGATTTCATTTCAGAATCACACCTTATATTAGCCCACTCCCTGCTTGTAATGCACTCGACACAAACGCATGTAACACCAGCAGTTGAATTCAGGAAAGATAACCTTGAATTAGGAAAGATAGAAGATATCAGTAATTAAAGCTGTTAACACTTGTTATTCTTTCTTTTATAGTTGGCACAGCTGCACAGGAGGGTAAGTCTATTTTACCAGAGTTCTTAACTACTGAGTATGATAAAAAGACCACAGACGCCTCAAAAGTGAGGACTAAAATTCAAACAGAAATATTTGAATACTGCAAATATTGCAGATTAGGAAAAGCTCCCTGTTCATCAGTGCTGTACTCACTGACTTGAAAAACTGGCCCTCATGAATTGTCCTTAATTATTGCTAGCAATCTCCAAGTGTGGTTAGATATTTGCAGAGATCACCAATCAATAGAAAAAACAGCAGAATTAACAGGTTTGTTAATACTTGTTGTTCTTTCCTTTGCAGAGGGTGCTGAAGCACAGGAAGGTAAGTGTGCTTTACCAGCATTCTTACCTATTTAGTGTAATATAAACACTGCAGATGCGTCACGAGAGAGGGCAAAGAAGTAAGTAGAAGTATTTGAATTCAAGCTGTATTTTAAGAGGGAAAGAATCCTTGTTCATTAGTTGCTACTGTTACCCTGATTTAAAAAAAAATAGGTGCAGTGAGCTGCCCCGAATTATTGTTAGTGATCTCCAAGGAGGGTATGGATGGCATTTGCAGGAGCCCGCAAGCATACCTTTCGTGGCATGCGGCCAAACTGTCTGACATAAAATTAGACATTCTGTGATGGTGCTTAGAGACTGCTTAGTGTTGCAAAAAGATCAGAGTAAATAAACAACAACAACAACAAAAATCTATGCAAAAGACACATGCACAGGGGGGTTACGTTTTTACCAAAAATTCAAAGATTGGGCAAAACAAACCACTTCAGGAACTTTCAAGAAGCTGGTTGGCAAGGAGGCCTCAGATGGCTCTTCTCCAGCTGGATTCCTGGGACTGAGGGGGGCCTGTTTAAAAGCCCATTGTAATGTTGGTTCCTTACCTGTAGACCCACCTCCCAGTGAAGAATTCCTGGTAGAGATTTCTGGAACTACAGTGACTATCACATGTCCTGCGACTGACGGCAACATAGTCTGGCAACCAGCTATAACAAAACCGTCTGACAATGACAGAAAATACATCATAGAGGATTATGACAGCTCCCCTCGCAATTTGACTTGCTCATCAGGTGACAAGAAGTATAACATGTACCTGAATGCCAGAGGTGAGTGACAGCACACCCTGCCTGTGAGAAACTCTGCATGGGCCAGAGATGGACAGGCAATGTCCGTCACAAGGGCTAGAGGCGCTTCTTGTCTCCCCGAGTACAAGCCTCACATCCAGAGCACGCAGCCTCGTTTCTGCGATTCAGCATGCAACCGGGGAGAGTTAGAGAACTCTTTCTTCCCACCTGGTGCTGATTTAAACCTCTGATTCACCGGGAATTTGAGCAACTGCTCTGCACTCACGTCTTGGAAGCCAGCAGAGGTAGATTGGGATCACAGTTAGGTTGGCATGAGAAGAGCACTGATACTCTAGAAGACATTTGGCATCGTCCTGCTAAGGCTAGGCAGAAGAGAAGAGAGTAGTGAGTTTATTGTACGCATCAGACCCTGGAATTGCTGGCAGATGGAAGCAAATGTTGTGAGAGAATATCCTGTCCGTTCTCTCTTCATTCCTGTTTGCTTCTTTCTGCTTTCCACCAGAGCTGCATCCTTTCTGCTAATGCTAAGCGAAAGAGTGAGGCCTGAGCATTGTGAGCAGAAAGCTCACAATGATGGTGAGGTCTCGGACCTGTAGCCCCTCTTTTGAGGGGCTTGTGAGCCCCCTTTTCCCTGTGCATCAGCGTGTCGGTCTCTGAGCACCTTCACCTCTCCATCTGCAGTGTGCACAAACTGCGAGGAGCTGGATGCGTTAGCTGTGAGTGGGATCGTCATCGCAGACCTTCTCATCACCCTCGGGGTGCTGATCCTGGTCTATTACTTCAGCAAGGACAGAAAGGGGAAAACGAGCAGTGGCGCAGGCAGCCGACCACGAGGTAAGAGCCACGTCAGCTGCGCCAGCCATCTCTGACCTCCTGGGATGCTGAGAACTTGCCCCGCCAGTGACGGAGCGGCCTGCGTCTCCTCTGGGCCTGCTCGGCCGTGCCAGGCTCCTCCGCTCCCGCTGGCCACGTCTGTCGCTGTGAGCCGTCTCCTGTGCGAGAGGGCTGCGCCTGCCATTTTGTGTCGCAGCTTTGCGCCCACAGGAAACCATTTCGCACGCTGCTGTGAAGTGGTGGGGAGTCTGCGCTGAAGCAAGAGCAGCTCGCTCAGCTTCTCGCGGCGGCTGCAGCTTGTGGCAGCTGTTCAGCCTACGTGCGTAGCTGACAAGCCCAGCCTGGCCTCGGCCCACTGGGCTGCCGTCGCAGGCACTCGAGGAGCAAGATTCAGGCTGGCACGCAGAAGATGGCGTTAGAAATCATAATCTCCTTTAAACTATAATTTCGGCTTTATAGCTTCTCAAGTCATAGTTGGTGGCACAACGGGTTCCACAGAGGGATGGCACAAATGATAAATGACCCTGGCGTCACCTGCATGAAAGTCTCTTGCACTGCGGGATAAGACTCATTACCAAGTATGACCGCTGTCTTCCTCTGTTGCAGGTCAGAAGATGCAGCATCCTCCTCCTGTTCCCAACCCAGACTATGAGGTATGGAGAACCTGCAGGTTTTCCATGTTTTGCTGGCTGGGGAGGGATAGCCGGAGCGGAGAATGAGTAGCATTTGTCCTTTGTGCGTCTTTGGCAAGGCGCTTGGTAACGGTCCCGCAGTTCCGGGGCAGGAGGGGCTGGGAGAGGAGCCCCCTCTCTGAGCAGCGACGCCAGAAGGCAGGAGCAGAAGTGCAGCGTCCAGCGCACTCTGCGCAGCAGCAGGGCAGCACTGCTGCTCTCTGTTGTGCTTTGCTCTGGGGCCTGTGTGGATCAAGGCCTAGGAACGTTTGAGTGAGTGAACCCAGGGTTCCTGAGCTAATCTGAATGCTGTTCCCACAGCCCATCCGGAAGGGCCAGCGGGAAGTGTATGCAGGCCTGGAGCCCAGGGGCTTCTGAAATTCCCACGGATGCCAAGGTGGAAAGGAGTGGCAGAGGGGCCAAGGGCTTCTGGTCCACTTGATACCGGATTTCTGCTGCCCGTTTCAGCATTTCTGCTTTCCTCCCGTGGCACTGGCGTTTGGGCAGGAGCTAGATGGCTGCACAGGACAGGCACCCTGCTGCCTTCAGCTGTCCCACCTCCACACGTTCCTTCAGTCCGACAGGAGGGAAAAGGAAGAGATGAACACATTGGCTGGAGCAGTTTTCCTTCTCATTAAAGGATTGAAGCTTTACTTGCTGTTCGTGGCCTCCTTTCCCCTCACACTTCTTTCTCGCTGCTGCAGAATTTTCTCCTGTTTTGTTTCTGCCGGGCGTGCCTCCACATGCCCCTCACGCCTCGCTAAGTAGCTGACAGTGCAGTGGGAGGGATCACGGAGCAGCTGCCCATGGTGCCTTATGGTTCAGAGTCTGAGAGGTTCACACGCCGACTTGGCATCCTCTGGAGCCGTCTGAAAGCTTCCTATTAGAAAGCTTAAATGTTTGGTGGAGCATTAGATCTTTGATACTATTAAATTACAGAGTTCTTAGATATCTCAGCTGAAACTGGGCCCTACATAGCAATGCGTACCAGCTTTGCAGTCTCCGTGGGACCGCACAAGGGGGATTTTCATGTTACGCAGGCTGGAACTGAGTCCCTTTGGCTCAGCCTCAGGACCACCACTCTGCCCTAAAAACAGCCCGTTTAGTGGAATGAAAAAGAAGGCATTGGGGCCACACAGAGCATGCCAAGAGCTACAAGATGCAAGACAGCATCGAGCTGTCTTGCTAGATTATCCCTCTCATCCCAGAGACTTCTCCATTCCTACTGCTAGCCTATAGCGCAGTGCAGGATAAAACTGCTTGTGGAGCATGCCGTATCTTGGGGGCTGTACAAGACTGTTTGCTAGAGGAGTTTAGTTTTCCTGAGTAGAAAATTATTTATTTCTTCATTTATAGTTGTCTTCTATCTGTTCTTTATTGCCGCCCTTTCTCTCTCCTCTTTCACCTCTGCTGGATTCTCTCTGTTATTAAGATGGCAGGCATCTTTGCCACTGGTAAAGACCTGTTTTAGCTTTTATCATATACATTAAGAGATGAATAAAACGGTGGACAGCTCTTCAAGGTACGCATTGGAAAGGGTTTCCTGATTGATTTTTTTCTTTCAAGGGGAGGCAGTTTCTGCTAAAAAGGGGGTTCCCAGCTCAGGGGCCATCTCCGAGACCGAGAGCTGCCGGGGGGCCACCCTGCTGACTCAGCCTGCAGTAGCACACGCAGGGCTCAGGAGCGGACTGTGCCGGGATGGGGCAGGCAACCAGGCACCCCCCCAAACCTGCGCCGCCCAGCGCAGCCTAGGAAAGCGCGTTTGCGAGCAGGACAGGGCTGGGCAGCCCGAACTGCAGCAGTGGGGTAGGTGCACGGGCTGAGCGAGCAAGACTCCCCTGAGACAGCTGGGAAGAGGGGAAATGGCAGCAGCAAGGGGGGTGCGGGAGGGTAGTTTCACCCTGAAGTCTCAGCACCGCGGGGCCAAACGCACAGCAAGGTTCATGCCTCAGATTGCTGTGCTTACCTCTCAGGATGTGGTTTTAGAGGCAGCACAGCTGGCTTCACCATGCAAAGCGCTCTGCAGCAAGGCGGGAGATTGTAAGATACGAAGAGCAGCGTTTGAGGCAGGTTCTCAGCTTCTGCACATCCTCAGTGCTCCTCCAAGGTCACTGCTCTGAAGAAGTTCACTGAGCCCATGCCTACAGCCCATTGCCCCAAATGGGATATGAGGAGCTTGGACTGCGCTGGCTCTTCAAGGGAGAGATTTCGCCCCATTTGACCCCGTGCTTCTGACACCATTTCTGGGATTGCATTTTTGCTGTTTGCCACAAATTGTGTCATCCCACGCTCTCCTTATCGCGGTGGGATCAATGCAATGCCGTGACAACATCTTGCAGCCTCTGTGTTGAGCTGTACTACAGACATAGTTCTTTGTCCCCCGCAGCGTGAGGCGTTGAGCCAAACTTCTCCAAAATAGACTAGCTATAAACATCCCCTTGCTCTCTGCCCTGAGCGCTGCATACTCACTCTGTCTTGGCTTTCCCCTACTGAAATGAGTCTGAGTGTGGTTGGCCGCATTGCTGATTATTTTCAGATCTGCTGGTGAGAAGGGCAAGGCAGTCCTCTGAAGCTCTGCTGAGAGGCCCGTGCAGACGGAAGGAGCACATTAGTGTATTTCAGCTGCGATGAGCGTAGCAGGCTCCCCTATCATTGGAGCAGGTTACATGGGTGGAAGAGCCACTGCAGCATTATTCTGCCCCACCAAGAGCAAACTGTTGTTGCCTAAAGAGCTGACACCACAGGAAAACAACTTGCTTTGCTGGCTGCACGTAGGACTGATCACACAGTGATTCCCCTAAGGGCCCACACACGTTCTCTGTGTGAGACCATGCCGTCACACATTTGTGACCACTTTTCCCGAGTACCTGCTTACATTTCATGACTAAGTCCCAGGTCAGCGCACAGCCTGCTGCTCTCTGAAGCCCATTGCGCAGACATAGAGTAGGGCGAGGACTCTCCAGAGACCTCATCAGAAGTGAGGGCAGCATGGGCTGACCGTGGCCGTCGCTGCCTGCCCAGCTCTGCTGCCGAGGGTTTGCACCATCCCTGCCACACATTTTGCTCCTTCTGCGTTTCCATTTCCGCTTTGGGCTCGGCCCACACAGGCTGATCTGGGGAGCCGGCACGGCTGCTTCTTTGCTCAAGTTTCCCTCCCAAAAGCACTGGGCCAGTGTCCCCACTCTGTGCAGGCTCACACAGCCCCTGCCCTCCTGTGCCCACTCCCCATTCCGAAAGGGGAGCTTAGTGAGACAAAGACACTCCCAGTGGCAGGAGTAGCAGCCCTCTGCCATCCCCAGGTCTCCCATCCTGTGCCCACCAGCTTCATCAACAACCCAGACGTTATTTGGATCCAGGGACGGCGAGTTCTGTGGCCACGGGCACCTGTGTGCGCCGGCAGAGCAGTGTCCTCCCAGGCCAGGCCAGGCCAGGCAGGAGCCGTATGGCTCTGCAGGGCGCCGGGCACAGCACATCGGCACGTGCCTCCCCTCACAGCAGCGCACAGCTCCCCTGGTCTCAACACAACTGATGCAGGCTGAAGGCTATGAATAGAGAAGCTCATCTTTAATGACAAAGAAATACAAAATGCAGCACGTCACAGAAAGAGCAGAGAGCTCCAAGCAGCCCAGCCTGCGAGGCTGCCAGGATGCTGGAGGGCTAGGTGGGTAAAAACTCACACTGTCTTCAGCCAGCCGTGAGTTCCCTGAGGCAATGCCGGGATCCTATCCCGGCTGTTTGTGCTCTCGGTGTGGAGGGGTCCTGAGTCCCACACATTTTCAGACGTCACTTGCGGGCCTTGACAGGTGCTAGCCGGCTGTACTGCCCATCGTTCCGCTCACCGAGAGGCTACGAGGAGGAAGGGGAGAGGTGAGCCACAAGAGGGGCTGCCTTTGGGGCAGCTTTTGGCTCTGACACACGGTGCTTAAGCCCAGGGAGTAAGAGGGGAGCCGAGCGTGTCCCAGATCACTGACACCACGATGCCACTGCCTGCGGCTCAGTCTTGGGGCATTATAGGCGCCCCAGCAGCAGGGTCATCGCGACTGTGCAGCCACACAGGCCCACATCACGCAGAGGGGCCAGAGCCCCCGTGCACACCCCTGTGCTCACCTGGTAAAGCTGATCGTTGGCAATGAGGTTCTGCCTGTCAGAAGCTAAACGAAGAGAGAGCACAGTCAAGGATCTGGGGAGCCGTACGGGGAGCGTTTGCGGGTCACACGGTGCAGTCGGCTGCTTTCAGCCCCGCGCTTTCACCTCCTGCGGGAGGAAGGCTGCAAAGCCCCGCGCAGAGCACCCCGTGACCCGTGGGTAAGCAGAGGACGCGGGTGCAGCCCTCAAGGAGCACCTTGCACGAGCTGCCATGCGTCACCCCAGCCTGTCCCGCGGGGGAAGCCGCGTGGCTCCGCCGCGCTCGCGGCGGGGCGTCCCCAGGGAGCACCGGGGGCCCCGCGTCCCCTCACCTCGCGACAGGCGCCCCTTGTCGTGGCCGCTGATGCAGTAGACGGCGATGGCGAGGAACACAGTGGCGACCACGTCGGCGACCACGATGCCGGAGATGGTGGCGGCGTCCAGCTCGATGCAGTTCTGGCACACTGCGGGCGGCGGCGTGGCAGCGGCGGCCCCGCGCCCCGGCCCCGCGCCCCGGCGCCGCCGCCGCTACTCACGCCGGTAGTGCACGTGCAGCGCCACGTCCCGCGGGGCGCGCAGGGCGCCGCCGCTCACGCGGCACGTGTAGAGCCCGCGCGGGTCGTCGTGCGCGGCGCCCAGCTCGAGGCGCGGCCCGCTGCCCACCGGCTCGCCGCGCCGCCACCACGACACGGCCGCGTCCTTGCCCGCGTCGCACTGCAGCGCCACGCGCCCGCTCGCCTCCTTCACCAGCACGGCCTCCTGCCCTGCGGGGAGCGCCGC